TCCTGTACGTAGGGGATCGATTGTGTTAACTAAGAAATCAATCCCTTATTTCCAAACTTGTATAAAACCTTTTTTAAATGTGAAAAGAAGTTGGTTTTTGATCTTAAATCATTTTTCACATGAAAAATAGCTAGCAAAAGTTTTCTTTTTAAGTTTAAAACATTTTTGCAAGTTTTCCAAGTTTTAGTAAATCAAATATCATTTATAAAAATGTATTATGTATTTAGTACAAAAGTAATAAAACTTAATAACAATATACTAAATAAATCTTTTGCGAAATCATAATCATATTTATTTAACTTAATATTTTATCATTTTAAAATAAAAATCAATTCAAGACTAACACTTATACTAAATATAAAGTGAACCTAGACCAACCATTAGATTAATTTTGCTATAATTCTATCGAACCATAGAAAATGTGCACTTGCCCTCTTATGTACTAATGGATTCATTGTCGATAATTTAAATTTTGGGGTAGAAAATTTCTAAAGAGGGAAAATTGAATTTTGAATGCCAACAAGATTGGTTGAATTACTAATATCACATTGTTGACCCAAGTTTAGGATGCAACAATCGCTACATAATTTTGCAAAATAAATGCAAAAGAAATTTCAAAATAAGTATAAAATTAATTTCATAATAAATTCTAATTATTCACTTGTAATAAATGCTTAAAGAAATTCCAAAATAAGTCTACAATTAATTTGTAAATTTTACAAAATTGTAAGCAATTCATAAGAGGTTCCGAAATCCTTCACTTCAATTATTACACACTAGTAGTATCGAGTATTCATTCATCAATAAATAGTAAATTTAAAGCTCCAAAATATCATAATTGCTAGAAACTATCTCTTAACCCGAAATCCCAAGATTAACTAGCTACTAGTCATTTATTGATATATGAAAAATGTTAATGAATAAAGGAATGAGTATATTGAAGATTGAAATTACACAATTTCAAAGCAGCTAGCCAACAAATTTTTCAGTGCTCAAAATTTGTTGTTTTGAAGATTAAAAGCACCGACAGATTTTCATCGCCTATATTTTTTGGGGTTGACTGAATTACATCCCACATGTTATCGATAGTAGATTATACTCCAAAAAAATTAATTTCATGCAATAAAATATGTAACAGAGATTGGGTATTACAAGAAAAAATCGGATTTACACCATTTGCAGTGTAAAACAAGTCATTGTTAAAGATTGTAGGGAAGAATCGAATCGAAAATAAAAGAAAGTGATTTGCTTTCTTGAGTTGTTTTTAGAGAAATAATTTGATTATGATATTTATTGTATATAATATAACCATCACATTGGTTACAAAATAATTTATAAAAATACCAAGTAAATCAATATATTAAAAAATACAAAAGTGATAAATTCAAATATAATATTACATCAAACTCACAAATATTGAGATATATATTATGATCTAAAACTTCCGAGGTCTATCATCTTAATTTGAAAAGAGATTTCATCTTTTCAAACTAAAGTTGATTATTTACAGGGTGAGTAAACACCTTTTTTTCTTATATACCAAAGTAAAATGAACCCATACCAACAATTAAATCAATTTTGCAGTAATTCTACCCACATAAATGTGCACTCTCTGTTATCCATTTAAATTAAATTTAATCTGGAGAAAAATATTTTCTAAGGAAGAAAACTAGATTAAATTGAATTTGGGTAATAGTTTTTTTTCTTTTTATGAATAATAATCAAAATTTATAAAAGAGAAAGGGGAAAGTCTACACTGCAATCAAATCAGTACTATAAACGCATGTTGACCATATGACTTCATTAATTCTGCACCTTCGTCTGGGTTACGCTAACTATTAAACATGATTGGTGCTACTGCTTCGCAATTAAATGACTTTAAATCTTAAAACAAGCTTTCCTATAAATTAATAACCAATATTTGAATGTTCTCCATTTTATCCTAGATATAGTTAAGGAAAAGCTAAGAAAAAGTCATGGGTTTGCATAGTTTCTTTAAGGAGCTTGTTCTGTTTGCAGTGAAGTCAACAATTATAGCAACTTCACTAGCAGCTCAAGCAAAACCGTGCTGTCAAAGCAACTGCGGAAATATCAGCATCACATACCCTTTTGGTACAGGCAGTCTTGGTTGTAACATCAGTAGGAGCTTTTTCATCCATTATGACACCACTTTCAACACCCCAAAAACATTTTTAATCACCAGCAATATTGAAGTTCTCAACATCTCTCTGGATGGTTATTTGCGCTTCCATAATTCGATAGGTTACGACTGTTACAACTCATCAAGTCGTAGTTCATATTTCGATATGTGGATCACGCTTTCAAAGTTCCCCATATATATATATATATATTGCTAAACCAAAGATTTATTAATAGTAGGAACTAAATTTACAATGTAGCTAGTCACCCCTGATATTACAATCCAACACTCGATATTATTACACCTGTAATACTACAGACTTGCATCCAGCTATAAACCCTTCAACATATATTATTGACCTACGAGTACCTTTACCCTTATCTCAGGGAATGAAAAGCACTACTCTCGTACCCACAAAGCCAGCTATAACTTTAAACGATCACCACCATGCCATAAAGTTCAGTTCTCTCCCAACCCCGGCCTTAGCTAGAGCATCCGCCATGCCATTGGCTTTTCTATATACCTTCGTTAGTTTCACCTTCTCAAATCTGGACTTTAGCAAATCAATTTCCAGAAAAATGTGATGGGAGTTCCCATGGACTTTCTTCCTCTTTCATAACCCAGCTGGTTGCTACCATAGAGTCAGACTCAAGTATCAACCCAGCATCTTCTTCCTTGTCCACTTTGTCAAACAATTCCATTGCAACTTTTATCGCATACAGCTAAGCTACATTCAAGCATTCTGATCCCAGGGGACACAAGAACATAGCCACCAATTCTCCTTTAGAATTCCTAATAACACCCTTGCAATCTGCTGGACCCGGAGCACTTTTAGCCGATCCATCCACATTGGCTTTGAACCACCCTTCTTCAGGAGGACACCACGACACCTGGGGCCTTACCTTTCTATCGCTATTCCTCGGTACACATGTTAGCAGATCAGTACACTAAGTCACATCCAAGATGATATCGTCTTTATTCACTGCCTTTATCCAAGCCAAAGCACGTGTTTTTGTCAAGAATAGCAGATCTTCCAACTTTAACTCTTTCTTTTCAAAGACAATTTCATTCCTCTTAAGCCAAATGGACCAAAACGCGGCGGTACACGCAATAGGTAACTTAAAGCATTGCAATACAAAGGAATAGAGATTTACAGGAAGGCACTACCTGATACTCCACCACTCAGAAAATCAGTACCAGAATTGGGATTTATCAAACATGCCAACATCATGTGATTTGCATCTTCCTCCTCCCTATTGCACCATGGACGGTAGCATTGAGCAGTCTCCAGTTGTATACCTTTACTCAGGAAAACTTTTGTTAGGATTCCATTCAATATTAACAACCAAAGAAAGCATTTTACCTTGGGAGGGATTTTGCATTTCCAAATCTGACAAAACTCCGGAACAAAAACTAAATTCTCAGTCTGTATAAGAAGTTCTTAACTTTTTTAACCGAAAACTTGCCTAGCCTATCATGTTCCCATGCTATCCTATCCTTCTTAGAAGGCATCAATACATACCTTTTGATTAATGACTGCATGTTCCTTAACCACCCTGTCTCCCATTCCCGGAGCTGTCTTCTAAAAATGTTCTCCCATAGATGATGACATAACTTACCACCTAATGCATAATCACACACATTCACTCTCTTGTCAATTGCCAAAATATAAAGTCTGGGAAATACCTGTCTTAAAGTTCTTTCGTCACACCATCTATCCAACTAGAATAGGATGTCAGCCCCATTTCCTACGAACCATCTACAGCTTTCCCTGCCTGCAAACCTCTTTAACTTATTATCCTCATTCAGTTTGATCACATCTTTCCGTTGACGAGACATTCCATTTATATGGTTTGTCCCCGAAAACTAGTCCCTACTACCCGTCCCATACTTAGCCACTCTCCTCCAAAGTGATGTTGGTTCATATGCAAATCTCCACCACCACTTAGCTAAGAGGGCCTCATTCTTAACTACCAGGTTTCTTATACTTAGACCGCCGAACTTCTTCGGTTCACACACTAACGACCAGCTTACTTTTGCTATTTTTGTTTGATTCACTCCTCTTCCCCATGAGAAGTTCCTCCTCAATTGGTCATTCTTCTTGATTACTCCAGCTGGCGCCTTAAACAGTGACATATAGTATAAAGGAAGGCATGAAAGCACCGCATTGATCAATGTCACCCTTCCTCCAAATGATAGGTATTTCCTTTTCCAAAGTGCTAGTCTGTCCTAAATTCTTTTGATAACCGGGTCCCACCACCATTCTTCTGGGGTTTGCAACTACCGAAATACCCAAGTATAGGAACGGAAGATTGCTATACTTACAGTCCAGCATAGATGCAAGAGACTCCACCCTTATTCTTTTCGCTTTTGTCGCATACAACACTGATTTGCTAAAGTTTATCCTTAGACCCAAACACAACTCAAAGCATTTCAGAATCATTTTCATATTGTAAATGACCTCCTCTCTGGCTTCCAAAAACATAATGGTATCGTCAGCGAATTGGAGGTGCGAGATAGTTAATGAAGGACCAACATGATACACTTTTTATAAGATTAAGAGCCCCCCCTTTGATCATTAACAGATGTAGCACCTCTGTGACAATAATAAACAGAAAGGGAAAGAGTAGATCTCCCTGCCTCAAGCACCTTTGCATCTCGAATTCTCCCATTGGTGAACCATTTACAAGCACCAATACCCTTACGTTGACACACGTTATTTTATCCACCTGATCCACTTTTCCCGAAGCCTACTGATTCTAACACATAAAACAAAAAGTCGCAACTAACACAGTCATTTGCTTTTTTAAAAACTAACTAAACAATCATTCCACCTGCTTGCTGCAGGTCTTTTACCAATGAATGAATAACCTCGTTCGCCAAAAGGATTCCATCCATGATCTGCCTCCCAGCAATTAAAGCCAACTGCATATCACTAACCAATTTACCAGTCACCCTTTTCAGCCTTGTAGCTAGAATTTTCATATTATTTTATATAGAGAATTAACTAGACTAATTGGCCTGTACTCCTTTAGCCCTATAAGATTCTCCACTTTTGGGATCAACGTAATGAATGAGGAATTCAGCCCTTTTTCCAGTTTCACATTGCTGTGGAAATTTGCCAGAAATTGCATCAGCTCCTCCCTTATAAAATTCCAAGCCTTCCTATAAAAATTAAAGTTGTAACCAACTGGTACCGGAGCCTTCGAGCTTTCACCTTCCCATATTACTTCTTTCAATTCATCCATTTCAAAGGGAGCCTCCAGTAGCTCCACATCTTCTTGAGACAATTTACCAAATGGCAGCCCGACCCCCATTTTGTGAACCTATTCGTCCTTGGTGAAATGCTTTTTAAAAATCTCCAACACCAGAGACTTCACTTTCTTTATCCAAAACCCATATCCAATTGTCATACAACCCAGCCAAGGTGTTTTTGCAGGTCCTCAGCTTATCAGAACAATGAAAAAACCTTGTATTTTTCTCTTTGTTTTAACCACATAATTCTTAACTTTTGTTGCCACATAGATTCTCTATTTTTGCGTGCCACTCATAATTCTTCTAAAGCTCTCTTACGATCTTCAATTTTTGAAGGATACAGGTCCTTTAGGTTTATGATGTTTTCCAATATTTCAACTTTCTCCTCAAGCCTCACTATTTTTTCCTCTATGTTCCCAAACACTTCGTTGTTCCATTTCTCCATAAAGGCTTTCATCTATGTTAATTTCATTCGTACGTGATGCCCTAATTTCCCCGAAACCCCAAAATGTTTCCATTCATCTTCCAGTTTCTTAAAAAACTTGCAATTGTTCAACCAATAATCCATTACTCGAAATGGTCTTGGTCCCCACTCTACAGCATCTGATGCAAGTAAGATTGGACAATGATCCCATACAGATCTCCTCAAACCTCTCTAGAAGATATCCTTGAAAGTTACCACCCATTCGGACATGACCAAAAAAGGGTCTAACCTGCTTCTTTTGTTGCCTCTCCCATACCATGTGAATTTCTTACCGTTTAGCGGCAAGTCTATCAATTCACCTCTTTTAATGAAGTCATTGAATTCTTGGATTTCCACTCCCACAATAACACATTCATTCCTTTCTAAACCTGATCTGATCGTGTTGAAATCTCTTGCCACACACCAAGATCCTCCAAGTTCGTCTTTGTGCTCCAGAATCTCTTTCCACAGAATTAATTTCTCTGCCCTAGTGCAAGGAGCATAGACATTACAAATTACACACTCAAAACCCCTGTCAGTCCATTTGCCTTTAACTGCCATAAACCTACTGTTTAACCTTATTTGCTTTGCCATAAAGCTCCCTTTATCCCACACCATTAGCAGACCCCCAGATTTACCTATCTAAGGGAAAAATCCCCAATCAAAATTTAGGTTACACAAAGACCCACGATATGGGCTCCCACTAAGCTCTCCTTCATTGTTTCTTGAATAATTACCTTATCTATTTTATGTATTACTACCAGTTTCTTCGAAACATCCATTTTTGTTCCGCTACCTATTCCCCTTATATTCCAACAGATAATTCTCATGCTACTAATTTTATATCCAGACCCAAACAATGAGTTTAACAATAACACACTTACTTCTTAATCGTACTTACTTTTTCTTTCTCTTTGTTGAACAAAGTTCTGAGTCATTCCACCACAACCTCGTCTTTATAACTTGCCTAGAAGCCCCAACTCCCATGCTTCCTTTGCTTCCCTTGTAATTGTTGAGGAGATAAACCACACTTGGAGCCTATGGAGGACATTAGAAAGCTTATACATACATGTTGGACATTACTTGTTAGGTTTTTGGGTCCTTCATGCATATATTTGGAGTCTATGAGAGCACACTAGAGAGCCTATACATACATATTGGACATTACTTGAGCCCAAAAGCTTAAACTATTAGATTTTTTGGTTTTGACATCTCATTCAGATTTTCTAATGATGTCCTTCATGCATATATTTGAAGCCTATAAGAGCACACTAGATAGCTTATACATACATGTTAGACACTATTTGAGCTCAAAAGCTTAAGCTATTAGGTTTTTGAGTCCTTCATACATATATAGGACATCTCATTCAGATTTTCTAATGATGTAAGATTCTTTACTCACATGTGTCCTTCATGCATATATTTGGAGCCTGTGGGAGCACACTAGAGAGCTTATACATACATGTTGGATACTATTTGAGCTCAAAAACTTAAGCTATTAGGTTTTTGGGTCTTTCATACATATATAGGACATTTCATTCAGATTTTCTAATGATGTAAGATTCTTTACTCACATGTGAACTATATCCTAATAATCTCCCATGTTCACTTGTGAGTTCTAATCAATTTGTACCTTGGCTCTCCGTGCGAGTAAGTCTTATCAACACCTCATTTAAGCTAGGCAACCTTACATCTCTAGTGAGCTTTTGGGTCAGGTCATAGCACTCAACCTTGCCATTTAAGTTGTCTCAGTGCTCCCTTAAGTTTGCACTCTAAGTTGACGTTCTAATGATGTAAGATTCTTTACTCACATATGAATCATAGCCTAATAATCTCCCTTGTTCACTTGTGAGTTCTAATCAATTCGCACCTTGGCTCTTCGTGCGAGTAAGTCCTATCAACACTTCCTTTGAGCCAGGCAACCACCCATTTGGGTGTTTCGCTTTTGCATATTATCATAGACTTGCTGTATCCAAGTTGAACCTTTTAAATTATGACGTTCAAGTACATGAAGTTGATAAACGCAGCCAACCTCTTATCTGCCAATAATTTTTCCCCTAGCAACATCACTGAGACTTGAACTCGCCGTTACCTTGGCTTTGATATCACTTGTTGGGGAGATAAATCACATTTTGAGCCTATAGGAGCACACTATGCTGAACACCATTTGAGCCTAAAAGCTTAAGGTATTAGGTTCTTAGGTCCTTCATTTATCTGCCAATAATCTCTCCCCTAGCAACATCACTGAGACTTGAACTCGTCGTTACCTTGGTTTTGATACCACTTGTTGGGGAGATAAATTATATTTTGAGCCTATAAGAGCACACTAGAGAGCCTATACATACATGTTGAATACCATTTGAGCCCAAAAGCTTAAGCTATTAGGTTCTTGGGTCCTTCATGCATATATAGGATATCTCATTCAGATTTTCTAATGATGTGGGATTCTTTACTCACATGTGAACCATATCCCAACAATCTCCCCATTCACTTGTAAGTTCTGATCAATTCTCACATTGGCTCTTTCATGCAAGTAAGTCCTATCAATACCTCCTTTAAACCAGGTAACTTATATCTCTAGTGTGCTTTTGGGTTAGGCCACAACATTTAACCTTTTACTCACATATGAATCATATCCCAATAATCTCTCCCATTCACTTGTAAGTTTTGATCAATTCTCACCTTGGCTCCTTCATGTGAGTCTCACCTTGGCTCCCTCATGTGAGTCTCACCTTGGCTCCCCCCATGTGAGTAAGTCCTATCAACACCTTTTCTGAACCAAGCAACCGTACATCTCTAGTGTGTTTTTGGGTCAGGCCACAACATTCAACCTTGCCACCTAGACAACCTTACATCTTTAATGTGCTTTTAAGCTAGGCCACAGCATTCAACTTTGTCACCTAGGCAACCTTACATCTCTAATGGGCTTTTGAGCCAGGCCACAGCACTCAACCTTGCCACCTAGGTTATCTTAGTGCTCTTTCAAGCTTGCACTCCAAGTTGACTCAACATATTGCCCACTTGGGTGTTCCACTTTTACATATTATCATAGACTCGCTGTATACAAGTTGAACCTTTTAATATCAGTGTTCAAGCACATGAAGTTGATGGATGCAGCCAACCTTCGATCTGTCAATAATCTCCCCCTAGCAATACCACTGAGACTTAAACCCATCGTAACCTCAGCTCTGATACCACTTGTTGGGAAGATAAACCACACTTGGAGACTATGAGAGCACACTAGAGAGCCTAAACATACATGTTGGACATCACTTGAGTCCAAAAGCTTAAGCTATTAGGTTTTTAGGTCCTTCATGCATATATAAGATATCTCATTCAGATTTTCTAATGATGTGGGATTCTTTACTCACATATGAATCATATCCCAATAATCTTTTCCATTCACTTGTGAGTTCTGATCAGTTCCCACGTTGGCTCCCCGTGCAAGTAAGTCTTATCAATATCTTTTTTAAGCCAGGCAACCTTACATCTCTAGTACGCTTTTGAGCCAGGCCACAGCACTCAACCTTACCACCTAGGTTATCTTAGTGCTCCCTCAAGCTTGCATTCCAGATTAACTCAACACATCATCCATTTGGGTGTTCCATTTTTATCATTTTTACATATTATCATAGACTCATTGCATCCAAGTCGAACCTTTTAATATTGGCGTTCAAGCACATGGAGTTGATGGACACGACCAACCTTCGATTTACCAACAATCTCTCCCTTAACAACACCACTAGGACTCGAACCTATCATAACCATGGCTTTGATACCACTTATTGGGGAGATAAACCACACTTGGAGCCCATAAGAGCACATCAGAGAGCATATACATACATGTTGAACATCACTTGAGCCTAAGAGCTTAAGCTATTAGGTTCTTCGTTCCTTCATACATATATAAGACATCTCATTCAGATTTTCTAATAATGTGGGATTCTTTACTCACTTGTGAACCATATCCCAACAATCTCTCCCATTCACTTGTGAGTTCTAATCAATTCCCACCTTGGCTCCCCCGTGTGAGTAAGTTCTATCAACACCTCATTTGAGCAAGACAACCTTATATCTCTAGTGCATTTTTGGGCTAGGTCACAGCACTCAACCTTGCCACCTAGGTTGTCTCAATGCTCCCTTAAGCTTGCACTCCAGATTGATTCAACATATTGCCTATTTGGGTGTTTCATTTTTGTATATTATTATAAACTCACTGCATCCAAGTTAAACTTTTTAATATTGTTCAAGTACATAGAGTTGATAGACGTGATCAACCTCTGATCTGTTAATAATCTCCACCTAGCAACACTACTGGGACTTGAACTCATCATAACCTTGACTCTGATACCACTTGTTAGAGAGATAATTCACACTTAGAACCCATAAGAGCACACAAGAAAGCTTATACATACATGTTAGATACCACTGAGCCACCAAAAGGTTAAGCTATTAGGTTTCTTAGGTACATTCATGTCTTAATAGGATATCTCATTCAAAAGTTTCCTAATAATATGAGATTCTTATTCCACCATGTAAATTACTATCCCTACAAGTAATACTTCTGTTTATTCGAGAAGTCCCTATCTGATAAAAATT